TAGGGGTGGGGTGTAGTATTTTCACATGGAAATTGCGAGTTTACCGTCACAGAAATCTAACGTGTGAAGGTGATTTCTTAGCACGGAATTCGAGTTGGGTTTTCTGCAACTAGATGTGTGTAATTGCAGGGGAAGAGATAATAATAATAATAAATCAAAGTTTGCAATTTTGACAATTTTTCCTTAATTCTTCTTTTTTCATCCTTTTGACATGTTCTATATATTTTAGGGTAAATATCACTTCAGCCCCTGTAGTTTGAGTTTTATGCACATAAACCCCCTGTAGTTTGAAACTTTTAAATTAAAAGAGAATTTTGGGAAAGTTATTTAATATAGATTAAATACCAAGTCCATCGACATAATTCAAATTGATTTTTATTTTTTATAGAGGAATTTGAATGTTGAATAACTTTGAACTAAATTAAAAACATTTACTTTTTAAATCCTTCAATTCAAGTATAACATTTAATTTTAGGATGAGCTTGTGATATTGGAATCTTATTTTACTTTCATTGGATTCTGTTTTTATTGAGTTTAATTTATTTTACCTCTTTTATTTTTGGGAAAGTTATTCAAAAGGTCCTTACAATGGACAATTATTACATCCAAGCAAGGACAAAAAGTCTTGTCCACCCTTCATCTTTTCCACACCAAACTTAAATAATCAAACATTTACAAGAATTGGTTTTTTCTTTTTTTTTCCGAAAGTGTTGATTCGAATCTGATTCGTCCGATTTTCATGCATGGTTAAGCCCCTTCAATGATTTCCTCTAAATTGGATTCGTTTGTTTGTTATTTTTTGTTTAACTTATGAAGTTGAATATATCTAACTTTTTATGATTTAATATCACAATTTATGTAGTTGAATATCTCTAACTTAAAATCATTTATAATCAACTTTCACACTTATACATATTCACGTCCAGTCGTTCACACACATACACAAACTCCAACACAATTTTCATACACTTACACTCACACTTTTGAAATTGGGAAGTTTTCATAATTTTTCATTGTGTACTTGTTGTAGCGATGTCGAAAGCATAAACTAATGTTTGACATCTCCTTATTGTTATGCAATCAACTGCAATGAGAGAGAGAGAGAGAGAGAGAGAGAGAGAGAGAGAGAGAGAGAGAGAGAGAGAGAGAGAGAGAGAGAGAGAATTCGCCGTGTGTAGAGATTTGACAATTTGAGAATTTAATTTTTTGATTTGGGATCCAAAAATCAGATTTAATTTTTAAAATCGAACTTTTCAATTTGGATTTTAGACAGATTTGTTTTTGTCGGCAATGGGCCATCCGATCGGGCGGGTCGGGCCTCTACAAGTTTGTTTGGACCAATTAAATTATGGGCCTTTATTTAATTTGGCCCGAATTAGTCCAATTAACTGCCCAAACAAATTAATTGATTTCTGCTTGTGTAATGTTTTTTGGAGTTTGAAAATTACTATTAGCAGTTCATATCCCAAAAAGCTTTCTCTCCGTACAAAAAAAAAAAATTCAAAACATTCGAATTGAAGCAAAATCAAGCTAAATTCATCGAAATTTTGAGGTATTTTCAACTCCTAAACGTTTTAATTGCATTGGGTAGGAGATTTTGGTTGTAATTGCATGTTAAACAGCCCTAAAAATCGAATTATATGGCTATTTTTGGTTCAAACCTGCGCTCGGTGTACGCCCTGCATTTTTCACGCCCGGTTTGGGCGTTCTGTTAGACTGTGCACGCCCAGTTTGGTCGTCTGGTCCGGGAATGGGCGCCCGGTCTGGGCACCTATGATTCCAAGTGATGATGTTGGATTGTTGTTTTTTTTTCGGTTTTGTTAATGTTGGATTGTTGATTTTTTTTTATTCGGTTTAGTTGATTTTAGATTGTTGGTTTTCTTTTTCATTCGGTTTTGTTGATTCAAGATTGTTGATTTTTTTTATTTATTCGGATTTGTGGATCCAATAAAAGTACTAAATTCAACATAATAAAATACTATAATACATTAAATCCGATAAAATTAAACTAAATCAAACACTATTTAGAATATTCCACTTTTTTTAGCCAACAAAAAGATTTCTAGCAACAGAATTCGTCCAATCTACCAGCTTGTCCTTGGAGTCAAACAATTGATTTGTTGTAAAATAATCAGTATGATCGACTTCAACTTCAGCCGTATTGTATTGATTTCCCTGAAAAAAGCGTAAAATATATATATAATAATTAATAGCTACATATATTGGGCCCTTTGCTGTTAGACTGGGCCTGAATTGTTCGCAAAGATACGAAAGCATCAAATCGCATATCCAATTCTATTTGCAACAACCCTATATAACAATATTACTTTATTTATAAAAATAAACATAAAAAATATAAAAGTATTAGTTTATTTAAGCCACAAGTTTGGCTTTATTTGGTAGATATTATTCTAATTAGAACTCTCTTATCAATATTTTTTAAATTGAGCTCGTTACACTTAGTTATTTATTTTTTATTTTTTTAACAAACAGCGTCAAACAATATTAACCAGTATAAATACATATAATTTATGTTGATAATAAATTTGGTATACATACATTATTTCTTTAACTGAAATGATTTGTGCAGGCACATATTAAACAGTCAGGCACATTTTTTACCATTCTTCAAAAAATAAAAAGTGAAAAAACTCAAAAACTCTCTCAACCTTTCGATTTTCTTTCGCAAAGCCCGTGCAAATCGTCAACAGATCAGAGGTAATTTTTACGTTTTTACGATCCTCTTGTTATGTAGATTACGAATTCGAAAAAAAAAAC